GAATAGCAGTGGAACATTGAACCTACGTTTCGTTCTGTTTAGGATTTATTACCTGGAGACATACCTACTGTTTTCCAGTGTTGACGTTCATATGCTCAGAATTGAACTCAGTACCACTGGCTTCTAGGTGCATATATAATACAAACTTACTTACGTCTGTTACTCCTAATGGAGCATAGGCCGCCGACCAGCATTCTCCAACCCACTCTGTACTGGGCCTTCTTTTCTAGTTCCATCCAATTCTTGTTCATTTTTCTCATATCTATTTCCATTTCCCAGCGTAATGTGTTCTTTGGTCTTCCTCTTTTCCTTTGGCCTTGAGGATTCCATGTGGGGGATTGCCTTGTGACGCAGTTGGGTGCTTTCCTCAATGTGTGTCCTATCCATTTCCGGCGCTTCTCCCTAATTTCTTCCTCCGCTGGGATCTGGTTTTTTCTTTCCCACAGTTGGTTGCTGCTAATAGTGTCCGGCCAACGGATCTGAAGTATTTTGCATAGACAACTGTTAATAAACAGTTGTATCTTCTGGATGATGGTTTTCGTAGTTGTCCGGGTTTCTGCCCCATACACTAGAACTGTTTTGACATTTATGTTGAAAATTCTGACCTTGGTGTTGGTTGACAGTTGCTTTGAGTTCCAGATGTTCTTGAGTTCTAAATATGCTGCTCTTGTTTTGCCGATCCGCGCTTTCACGTCTGCATCAGACACACCATGTTCATCAATACAAAGGATTAATTAAAATTCTTTTCTGGATATAAACAATAGAAAAAAACACAAACCCTAACTAAGAATCTATATTCCTAATTATTTTCTGGCATTTAATACCATTTATTTGACAGTTATTTCCGTTGCCTAAGACGGAGTTGGATGGAGAATGCTGGTAGGCGGCCTATGCTCTTACTTGAGGAGCAACATGCGTAAGGAAGTAATCCAACAGCTGTTTGGTGGCAATAAAATATTTTTCAACTTAGCTTTTGCCATATCTTTTTACGTCTACAAACAACAACTAAATTCAGGTTTGTATAAAGAATCCACCTAACAAAGTTTATAAATTGTATTCTTATGAATAACCAATATAATCACATAAGATATAAGCTTAAATAGATAAGAATTACTTACTACCATCAAAATCTGGTTTTCTGAATACAGTTGAAAGAACATTTAATTTTGTTACGTATGAGCGATCACCGACTGCCACGACGTGCGGTGTTTTCTGGTGTAGAAGTAGGTTGGAAGAAAGCTAGGGAAGGCCAGACCAAAACATAGCACAAATCCATGAAGTCACTGACGAGTGGACTGAGTGAGTCATGTTGGTAGGTGTAGATTACCTGGTTGGTTAGAGACCCTGAATGACATGGTTCAAAATCGTTTCCAATGGCGCAGGTGCATCCACTCTTTGTGTTCTCCCAAATTCTAATCTTCTGAATTCTTCATGTCCCTTCTTTTTTTCTCTTTCCAAATTTATTTCACTGTATTATACTCTTTAAGTAACATCTCCAAACCCTAATGTTTCCGATTACTGCTTATACTTTTACTACTTCCACCACTACGGGATTCGAATTGACAACTGCATCTCTGTGTTAATGTAGTATGGCAACTCGAACTGATGTACGTACATACGAAGTTCTACATTGTGACTGACTGTTAAAGACTATTGATTGAATGACAAATACAATGAGGAAGTTGGTACAAACGCAAATTAACATTAAGTTACAAAAGAAACTGTGAAAATCTTGAGTCATCGAACCAAAGTAATTTGCTCCGACGATACCATGGAGATAGAGCCAGTATCTGTAACGCATATACCAGAACTTGATACCCAAGCCAATTCATTAAAAATAAGTCCTTTGACAAAGAGACTATTTCGAAGACATTAGTACTCTTGAAATTAGTTTAAAAAGAGATGTTGATTGTATGATACTAATATAAAGCTTAATTAAGGTATGACAGAACGTTCACTACAACGAAACTGAATATTTTATTTAACAAATGTTGGATAATGACGACCAAAAACACAGATTATGCACCAATTCACCTAGTCACATGAATCGAGTTACACAAGTCAGTCATCGCATTTTTAAGCACCATCCGGCCTGATTGATGAATGAATAATGAAACGTGATTAAGAGTTTAATTCTTCTGTGCACTTGACTGATGCAGAATATCAAGTAGACTTGTATTAAATCATTATAATTATCCATTGTATATAATCCATGGTTTATGCGTTCATCTTTTGTATACTATTACAATTATATGGACTTATATCGCCAAATTGAACATTTGTATCTAAAATCATTCGTAGAACTCTTCTTGCTATTCACACAGACCATACCGAAGAGGGTTGAAATGAAATTGTTTACATCCTTCCTTTCAACTTTATGGCAGTGAAACATGGCCGGTAAGAGTAGACGATATCCGTAGGCTACTAGTATTTGATCATAGGTGTCTTCGAAACATTGCTCGTAAATCCTGGGACCATCGAGTAAGTAACACAGTTGTTAGGAAACGGGTACTAGGTAAGGATGGCAAATCAATTGATGAAGTAGTAAAACTTCATCAGTTGAGATGGCTGAGACACGTGTTACGTATGCCCAACGACCGACTACCTCGACGTGCTATGTTCAGTGGTATAGGAGTAGGTTGGAAGAAAGCTAGGAGCGGCCAAACCAAAACATGGCACAAGTCCATGAAGTTACTGACGAGTGGACTGAGTGAGTCATGTTGGTAGGTGTAGACTACCTGGTTGGGAACCGCGAGATGATAGTAACCGATAGTTATAGACCCTGAATGACATGGCTCAAAATCGTTTTGCAATGGCGCAGGTGCATTCACTCTCTGTGTTCTCCCAAATTCTAATCTTCTGAATTCTTCATGTCCCTTTTTTCCTCTTTCCAAATTTATTTCACTGGATTATACTCTTTAAGTAACATCTCCAAACCCTAATGTTTCCGATTACTGCTTATACTTTTACTACTTCCACCACTACGGGATTCGAATTGACAACTGCATCTCTGTGCTAATGTGGTGTGGCAACTCGAACTGATGTACGTAGGTACGAAGTTCTACGTTGTTACTGACTGACTGAATATGTGAAATGATATCAACAATCAACCCACTAATTAGATATTATATAATTTGTTAACATTTGATAGATATGCTTCAATTTTGGATGAACGTAAATTATAACGACTAACCAATGAGAATAAAGAACACGACCATTATTATTATTCATCGTCGTTCAATTATTGGGTTTTATCATCAGTGATGAAGTCGTGGATGCACACATCTGAGAAGTTCCATACTAGAATGAAATAGCCATTTAGTGCTTTCTGGTTTTTAATAGTTATCTAACATAGATTGGTTTGTGATCTCAATAAAATTGAACAATCTTCCCAATCCCTATGCTGATACATCATTAGTCATTCGATATTATTTCTTCTAGCCATTTGTGAAACTGTAATCTTCTTACATAATAATACTACTATTTTTTTGGTATTGTCTTATTACTAGTATAAAGTCACTATGAAAAAAAGGTAATTAGGAAGAAACATTCACTCGTTTTAAAAAAGAAAGTAACGTTCTTTTTATCTGATGTGATGTTAACCAGGGATTATTTAACAGATTATTATTATTATTATTATTATTATTATTATTATTATTATTATTATTATTATTATTATTATTATTAGTGTTTGTTGAATTCCGTTAACTAAGTTGTAATGTAGCTACTAGTTAAAGTGACTTGACAGAAAACCCTAATCACCTTACTTTTTTGTCAGTATAGGGGGTTGTGGAGATTGTTAAGTTTTTGATTGAGATCATGAACCGATTGATGTTAGGCCACCATTGCCTCCAAATACCCTGGTACGACCGAAAGTGAGGAGAGTTCGCTCTCCCCCTCCAAATGCTCTCATACGGCCACACGTATATAGCCTCTGACAGGGAAGTCCTACTCATTGCCTTCTTGTGGCGGAGGTGTTGCTTACGAAATTGACAAGACGAAAAGCGAATGTCCAGCGCTTTAACCGGGTTGGTGGACATGGAGAGTTCACCTAGAGAAGTTGGAAAACCCTGATTCCAAACCAATTCTCCACATGGACTCCAATACCCTGAGGGAACAAATGGCGTATGGACCGATCGTTGGTCACCGACTACTATGGGACTGCATCTCCTTACGTTGCTTCACTGTCTTGTGGACCAGACCTCCAGGTCGAAGGCTCCGAATGTGGCCCCCTAAGAAAAGCACCTGTTTCGGTCTGGGCACCCGGGCAGTATCACAGCCCTCACAGAAATCAAATGAGATTTGTGTGGCGCATATGTATTTGGTGCCTCCTTGTACTAATATCTATGTGTTAAAATAAATAAGGCCACCGTTGGAAACCTGAAAGCACTGGACGGCCGTTTCGTCCTATTGTGTTATTTAGTGTTCATCAGCAAGATTTAACTGTGATTTTGAGGGATCTGATGCCACCAGTGAGATCAACTTTTTTTCTTTCATTCTACTTATGTGTTGTGATTACATGGTTCGATAAGAAAAACATTCGTACTAGGTTCTACATTGGTTCTAACTGACTAACTATCTGATACTATCAGTTCTAATTTCAAATTTGATGATAATCTATGCAGTAAAGTGACACAAACAATATCATGTTAAAATAGTTTGAAATATCTTCAGATATAGAGATGGTCCAATGTTTAGAATGTTCCACTTGTAACCACCACTAAGTTGGAAGTTCCATACCTACTCCACCTACTTCAGCTTCAGTAACCGGGTAAGTATCGCTAGCCTTCACAATTCGAATATAGTTTAAAGTCCAATAGTACGCAAAGTTATGCTTAGTAATTGAGAACCGTTGATTAAATGAACAACTATTATATCAATTGATGTCTCAATTTAAAGGGTGGAATTTTAGAAAACTCAATGATGACAATAAAAACTAGACATGACAGCAAAATAGAAATATTATGAAATCAAACAAGATCAAAGAGAAAAAAAACACTTTGAAAAACACATTTATTCATATATACAAAACAAAAAGATAAAAAAAAGTCATTCCCTAGGTGTTTGACGCCATAAATTCAAATCCTTTTCTGTGTAGTACCATTTAAAAGATGTAGATCCTAATGAATTAGCCAATAGTCGATCTATAATCAGTTGAGATGTATTTGAAGCAAGATTTTTAAATTTGGATTGATTTTGATCTTCACTTGACAATTGTTGTATTTCCGGTACAAATTCAATCTGTGTGTGTGTAGAGAATTGGAGATAGACAGAGAGAGAGAGAGAGAGGTAGATATTTCCATTAGAACACTACAAGTTGGTTCATCACATTAACACCCAACGAGATGTGTAGAATTCAGTAAATACAGTTAGTAATTAAAAGTAGATGAGATTTTAGATGTGGGGAGGGAAGATATGGAATAGTATAACATTAGGAAACAATAAGCCGCTATTGTGTCATCATGATAAAGAACTTCAACCATCACATCAAATTAGTAACTATGATATAAGTTAAAAACAATCTTCCAAAATGAATTAGAAGAATTTCCAATCCGAAGACATGATTTTTAACATGTCAAGTCAGGATTTAGACCAATCAACTAGCCCGTTTAGTAATATCTAAAACTAAACAAAATACCTACTGTATTTCAAGTTAAATAGCTAACCAATGAAATTTATATTCCAATCTTGATATGTCCAGTTTGTAGTTGACTACCGATTGATAATGGATAGAGTAATAACTTTATCAGTGCAAATGTTGCTTAGAATTTCTTTACATTTGTCTCATATCCTACTACTGTTCATACCATATACAGTATTGTAAATTGAATTGTACTTGTTTACACACTAACTGTTCACAGACTATGGTTCAATAATATTACTGGAACCACTGGACGTCCGGTTCGTCTTATTGCGGGACGCCTCAGCAGTGTGCTTCCACGACCCCGCTGCCCCGTGAGATTCGAACCAAGGACCTATATGTCTCATGAGCGAACGCTTAACCACTAAACCACTAAACCGGCATCCAACGGTGTTAATGTCTAACTTCAATCAATCCACGAAGTTACACCGCCGTACACCATTGTCTTCATTGAGTTGATATCTCGCGGGGAGCGGGATCGTGGATGAGCACTGCTAAGGAGTCCCATACTAGGACGAAACGGCTGTCCAGTGCTTCCAGGTTTTCCATGGTGATGTAGCTTCAATTAACTCATGATTTCAACAATTGAAATGGAGTATGAACCTATTGCTGGTCACCGGATACCATGAGACTGCATGTCCTAACATTGCTCCACTGCCTTATGGATCAGAAACTTAGGTCAAAGGCTCCGGGTGTAGCCTCCTAAGAAGACCACCTTCTTCGGTTTGGGCAACCGTGCAGTATCCCAACCCTCATACAAATCGAATACTTTATTTGACATCTCCTTGTACCAATGTTTATGTGTTTAAATAAATAAATAAATAAATAAAACTGCCCGGGTGCCCAAACTGTGTTTTAATTATTCTTTCAATTTATAAAACTAACCTCATTGAATATAGTATTTCTTGATCTTTCAATAAAGTTTAAACGATTTTGAAAAAAGTGTATACTTGATTCATTTGTCATTGATACTTTAGCTACTAGTGAATTTAATTTCATTGGTAAATGTCTACCAGAATATTCAAGAATACCAGCTAATGCTTCAGCTGCTAAACCTTGACCACGATATTTTGATTCAGCAATCATTACAGACAATTCACCTGAAATAATAAAATACATACAAACTAAATGATGCATAAAATAATTGAAAAGGAAGAAGAAGAAGAAGAAGAAGAGAAAGAAAGTAACAATATTGGAAATAGAATTTCTCCAGTAAGAATTCACAGTCGTTTTTATGACTTATTTAATTGGTAAAATGGACAGTAATAAATAACAAGGAAAAATTACCTTTTCATTCATTTAAACACATAAACAGGCACCAAATGGACATGCATCACATAAATCATTCTATTTCTGTGAAGGTTGTGATACTGCCCGGGTGCCCAGACCGAAACAGGTGCTTTTCTTAGGGGGCCACATTCGGAGCCTTCGACCTGGAGGTCTGGTCCACAAGACAGTGAAGCAACGTAAGGAGATGCAGTCCCATGGTAGCCGGTGACCAACGATCGGTTCATACGCCATTTGTTCCCTCAGGGTATTGGAGTCCATGTGGAGAATTGGTTTGGAATCAGGGTTTTCCAACTTCTCTAGGTGAACTCTCCATGTCCACCAACCCGGTTAAAGCGCTGGACATTCGCTTTTCGTCTTGTCAATTTCGTAAGCAACACCTCCGCCACAAGAAGGCAATGAGTAGGACTTCCCTGTCAGAGGCTATATACGTGTGGCCGTATGAGAGCATTTGGAGAGGGAGAGCGAACTCTCCTCACTTTCGGTCGTACCAGGGCATTTGGGGACGATAAATTATCAAATACTGTACGAAAAGCTCTATTTCATTAACATCAATTTGAATAGTATAACTATCTCTAATAAAAGAAAGTAGAAATTGTGCCTCAAAATACTTAGATCCATAGATATTTGAAATTTGGTACATGTAGTTACATATCAACGTTGTATTATGTTACCCAATACTCATTTAAACTTCTATTCAATATCCTTTCTAACCGGTTACTCTTGAACTAACAGATTTTTCTCTCCAGACTTTTAGAATCTTCATCTTTGCTCATAATCGAGTGAGCATATACAAAAGATCAGGGTACAACGCATCAAAGGTCATTAACTGTTAGCTTGAATTATGTAGCTGGCTTCCTATGTCTTGGTTGGAGTCTATGATATAGTTGTAAATCTATATTTGAAGGCTCTGTAGATGATACAGTTCGAAATGTTGTAGTACAATGCAGAAGTATTCATTCTTTTGAAAAAACTTACATTTAAATCCCAAGTTTTAATGTTTACTGTATACTCATCATTTCAGATTAAATTTATTCTTCGATTTTGATGTTTTGTTCTGTGAGCTGAATGGTTTGGTCTTGGGGTTTTTACCGTTCTTCTGAACGACATCATCAGCACAAACTTCTATAAAATATATATCATATGAATCCATTTGGTGTTGTTTTAATTGTATCTTCCCATTGTTACTTAGGACTGCAATTGATCAGTCTCATGTTGGCATATGAGCATCCTGTGCGGATTGCCTCGGATATAGCCTTAATTCACAAGCTTTTTAAGCAAAGATGGATAGTGTCTAGCGCGTTCTGGATTCCACTGCTTAGAAGTGGATTTAAACTTCACCCCATTGCACAAGCAGATGGCTATCAGAATTCAGTGGATAACGCGATGGCGTTAGAAGCGAACGGTACTGGGTTCGAGTCCCGGAATGAACATCAACTCTGGGATGCAGGTACATCCAGTTGACGAGTCTCAAATAGGACGAAACGCGCGTTCTGGTTTCCACTGCCATCCACTATTCATCTTTGCTTATATATGTTATATCCTAGTGAAGATTAAATTATAGGTAACTTCGGAGGATTATTAATGGATTAATATTCTATAAATATTCTTATGGTATAACTATTCAATCATTAGATTATGTATATTTATATTCCACTTATGATAAGCTTTATTTTGACCTCTATATTATTATTGTACAATTTACTGTTCTCAAGCTCTGTTCAGTTTATTGACTACTGCCTCCCAGCTTCACAGCCACTTTCTGGTTTTATTGTGTACAAATGTTATTTCCTATTTTATGGTGCGTTGCGGTCAGTTTGATTGATATATAAACCCAGTATGCCTGTAATAAATGATTCGATTCAATTCGCATAGTGGAAGCTGGTATTGGTGTTCTGGACTCAAGTGGACGGGCTAGGCGGACGTAGAACCAATAAGGACGCTAGGCTGCCCATACTGGTCGAACGTCATTGGTTTGGCACCGTGCTAAGATTGTATAAGTCGTACTTTTGATTGGTGGATAGATCACATGATAAAACGCCGGACGTAATGTCATAACAATATATCTTATAGTTAATTGCCCATAATCAGTGATATTATCCAATTTGTTAATAATATAATTCATGATATCAAATATGAGAGGGGGGAAAGATGTAATGATTACAATAATTCACTTCATCACAATAGATCGATTAATCATGTTAATTATACAAGTATTACCTTCAAAATCATTAACCATATGAGAATATGTAATGAATAAATTGACATCTCCAATCATAGAAAAGATTTCTGCATTTTCATAAGTATTCAATTGTGATTCAATTGTATCCGTTTTATCATTATTATTATTATTATTCAATAACCAATAATCTTGATATAATTGTTTACTAAGTAAAATAAAAGTTAATCGATCATCTAAATGACACCATTGTTCTTGGGCTTCAAATTCCTTGATATAGAATAATGTTTGTTTTTTTTGGAAAAATAAAAACAAAAAAAAAAGAGATCCGATTGTTAGGTTTGAAGCTAACACGAGTTCACTTAATCTGCGAACGAGAACAAAGACGCAGTGATCAAAGACCAGTAAGCTAGATATTCTGATGCGTCCCAAGCCCCACTAACTAAAGGGAGAAGTCCAAGCTTGGAATGGGGAAGTATATTCTGAAAAAACAGTCAGAAGCACGAGCGATAACAACAAACACAATTCAAAACGTATATATATACAGCACAAAACCGTCCTTGGGGAGAGTTACCAAATAGCATACTAAAAGATGCAACGGATCAATAGCATTTAAGATATTTCCTAGTGGGAAATACGACATAAAGGTGACAAGAGCGCCTTTGGCACAAAAACAAAAAAACTCAAATTTTCCAAATAAAATTACAAAATTAGGTCCTTTCCCAAGTGAGTTCTGGGGATCTAACGTCCCCAACACAGATATACGAATATTCATCAAGATTAGAATGAATAGTTGGATAGAAATTGAGCACCGAGTATAAAGAAGTTATTATATGTGAAATTTATTCTATTTAAAATAACAATTCCAATGTTTCGTCCAACTAACATGTCTGAACTTCTTCAGGGTAGAATAATCAAAATTATTAAAGATGGATGAAACGTTGGAATCATTTACATTTCAATCACTGAGATTATTTTAAAAAGATCAGAAATTTTCAAAGAAAACTACAAAATTATATATAAATAAATATGTGTGCAACCCTTAGACAATGTATATAATCTATTTACTATATTTCTATACATGATTATGAGACATTATGTACTATCCAATAGCCTTAATCGAAGTAGAGGGAGTAACATCGAGTTCTTGAACTACCGAACCGATGCTTCAATATATGACATAAGCTATATACAACCAGATATCGACCGTATATACATATGACCGATTCACTAGATACTTTATGTAGTGTGGAGTAAAATGACAATAAATCATATACCATCACTCTAGAACCTTTTTATTGATGTTCCATAGTTCAGTCAGTCAGTAACAACGTAGAACTTCGTACGTACGTACATCAGTTCGAGTTGCCACACCACATTAGCACAGAGATGCAGTTGTCAATTCAAATCCCGTAGTGGTAGAGGTAATAAGAGTATAAGCAGTAATCGGGAAGATTAGGGTTTGGAGATGTTATTTATAGAGTATAATCCAGTGAAATAAATTTGGAAAGAGGAAAAAAGGGACATGAAGAATTCAGAAGATTAGAATTTGGGAGAACATAGAGAGTGGATGCACCTGCGCCATTACAAACGATTTTGAGCCATGTCATTCAATGTCTCTAACCATCGGTTGCTATCATCTCGCGGTTCCCAACCAGATAGTCTACACCTACCAATATGACTCAGTCCACTTGTCAGCGACTTCATGGACTTGTGCCATGTTTTGGTTTGGCTCATTGGTTTGGTTCATGATAGTTGATTTTACAGAAACTAATTTTGTTGGTTTGTATTACGGCACTGTTAATATTTTCGAGTAGCAATCATGCAAATTTCATTCTGATTATCCTTGTCTATACTATTTCATAAGCCCAAAAAATACCGTTGTGGATTGAAATTTTATTACACAATAACTGGGTTTTTTTTCCTTCGATACCATGATGGTGAACTAAGTTAAAAGTGGATTCAAATCATGAAATGAGTTCAAAACAATGATACAGGACTTACAATCACTTTTATCAATGTTGTAATAATTAACTTAGAGATAAGAATTAAATATTTATCTCACTTTAATCAACAAACGTTAGAATAAAATATCGAGGAATCTGTGAACTTGCGTGATAACTGATAGTCATTATGTAGATATTTATGACATCTTAAGTGAATTTGAAACTATTCATAGAATTCCAACCAACTCCTTTAAGCTACTTAACATTGTAATAAAGTGAGTTGTGACATCAAGTAATATACACTAGCAGTTAATTTCTAAGTTAATTTGGTAGAATTCCATGTATATTACCGATCATATAGACGAAGCATTGGTAACTGCTACTAAGTATTTCTCGACCTTAAGGCGGCATTCGACTCTGTTGATCGTGAGGTTCTATGGCAGTGTTTGTCACTGAAAGGAGTACCAAAGAAGTACCTTATAAATGCTCTCTACTCGAACACAACTGGTAGAGTGAGAGCTTATGGCGAACTGTCATCAGAATTGATCACCTCAAGTGGTGTTCGTCAGGGCTGTCCACTCTCCTCATTCTTGTCCAACTTTGTGGTCGACGTACTTTTAGAGATAACACTTTCCTCGTCTAGATTTTCAGGGGTTGAACTTCTACCGGGAGGTTCACTTGTTGACTTAGAATATGCAGATGACATAGTTTTATTTGGTGAAGACACTGACAAAATGCAGAGTCTTCTGACCACTGTAAGCAACAATGCAAGCATGTTCGGGATGCGATTCTCTCCCTCGAAATGCAAAATGTTGCTTCAGGATTGGGTTACATCCACACCCGAACTAGTGATAGGGAGTGAAGTAGTTGAGTGTGTCGACCGCTTCACTTATCTTGGAAGTCTCATCAGCCTTTGTGGTTTAGTGTGTGACGAAATCTCAGCACGGATACAGAAGGCTCGACTAGCTTTTGCCAACTTGCGTCATTTATGGCGTAGGCGAGATATCCGTCTATCAACCAAAGGACGGGTTTACTGCGCAGCAGTTCGTTCCGTCCTTCTTTATGGCAGTGAAACATGGCCGGTAAGAGTAGAGGATATCCGTAGGCTACTAGTATTTGATCATAGGTGTCTTCGAAACATTGCTCGTATATCATGGGACATTCGAGTAAGTAACACAGTTGTTAGGAAACGGGTACTAGGTAAGGATGGCAAATCAATTGATGAAGTAGTGAAACTTCATCAGTTGAGATGGCTGGGACACGTGTTACGTATGCCCAACGACCAACTGCCTCGACGTGCTATGTTCAGTGGTATAGGAGTAGGTTGGAAGAAAGCTAGGGGCGGCCAAACCAAAACATGGCACAAGTCCATGAAGTCACTGACAAGTACACTGAGTCATATTGGTAGGTGTAGACTATCTGGTTGGGAACCGCGAGATCATAGCAACCGATGGTTAGAGACATTGAATGACATGGCTCAAAGTCGTTTGCAATGGCGCAGGTGCATTCACTCTCTGTGTTCTCCCAAATTCTAATCTTCTGAATTCTTCATGTCCCTTTTTTCCTCTTTCCAAATTTATTTCACTGGATTATACTCTTTGAATAACATCTCCAAACCCTAATCTTCCCGATTACTGCTTATACTCTTATTACCTCTACCACTACGGGATTTGAATTGACAACTGCATCTCTGTGCTAATGTGGTGTGGCAACTCGAACTGATGTACGTACGTACGGAGTTCAACGTTGTTACTGACTGACTACTGCTACTAAGTGATTAATTGTCTGTTATTATAAAAAAACTACAACAAACTACATCACATTCCATAATATATTAAATACCAAACCGTGTACATATACTACCATTTCAGATTGGGCAACATTAGATAGATTTACACAGACCAACTAACTGATAAATTCACTATTATGAGATTAAACATTATCAGTAATATAACTTCCAATTTTTCCATATTATAACATACACATGAAATGATCAGTTGAAATAACAACAATCTACCAATTCAAACATTAAATTATTCTTCAGTCATTTATAATCAATGCAGGAACCCGGGACTTTGACAGTACTGGGATAAGTTTTCCTAATTTATATCAGAATAGTAAGTGAGAGGAAATCAACAAAATGTATAGTTCACAGAAGGGATCTTTTTTCAACGAATTCATTATCAAGCTGTACAATCGTATATGTATACATATATACAGAAATTTTTTTCGTATTACATAATCTAGTGTTATAATCTTTCTACTACCTCATCATGTCTACTCCTCGTTCATATGTCCTCATGGAACTAATTACTTACATACGCCCGTTACTCCTCGCGGAGGATCATAGGCCGCCCACAAACACTCACCATTCAACCCTGTCTTAAACAATTTTTTCCAGCTCCTTCCAGTTGTTATTCATCCATTTCATATCTGCTTCTATTTCCCGACGTAATGTGTTCTCTGGCCTTCATCTTTTTCGCTTCCTTTCAGGATTCCAAGTTAGCGTCTGTCTCGTGATGCAGTTCGGTGATTTCCGTAATGTATGTCCTATCCATTTCCAACGTTTTTTCCTAATTTCCTCTTCAGCTGTAAGCTAGTTTGTTCTCTCCCACAGCATGGTGTTGCTGATGATATCCGACCAATGGATGTTGAGTATCTTCTGTAGACAACTACTTATAAATACTTGTACCTTCTTGATGATGGTGGTAGTAGTTCTCAATCTTTCTGTTATATATTACCACCACTGAATTAACTACTTCTATGAATCCCGTGTTCATCTTATTATGCTAATGAGGTATGACAACTTGGACCGATGCACATATGTGCCTGGTCCTACGTTGTAGTTGACTGACTGTAGTAGTTCTCCAAGTTTCAGCTCTATACAATAGAACTGTGTTGACATTCGTATTGAAGATTCTCACTTTGATATTGACTGACAGACAGTTGTTTTGAGTTCCATATGTTCCACAATTGTAGGAATGCGGCCCTTGCTTTGCCAATCCTTGCATTTACGTTTGTATCTCATCCTCCTTGTTCATCGATGATGCTTTCCAGGTACGTAAAGAATTCCATATCTTTCAGAGTTTCGCCATCAAGTGTGATTGGGTTGGTACGGAACTAATATTTTAAAAAAAATTCCATCTATATACGATTGTACAGCTTGATAATAAAATCGTTGAAAAAAAGATCCCTTCAATGAACTTCCTGTTTTTAATGTTTAAATGGGAATTATATGTCAATTGGAAGAAATGAATAGTGACGAAGTTGAAATAATTATAACAATTTAACAGCTGAAACATTGTAGTCTATGTATGTGTATGT